GACTTGACAGTGAAGATACCATTTTTGTATAATTCCATGTGATGTAATCGTGAGCTCCAGGTCCTCCAACAACTATCTGCTTAATATCAGTGGCTTCATCTTCGGAGAACGTTGCATGGAGTTTTGTGTCGTCCCAAGTTTCGCCCGTGTGGTTCAACAAGTCAGCTACCTTCTGTATATATACCTGGTATGAAGACTGCGCCCAGTGGCAACAGACTCCCTTGTCGCAGGATCCAAGGGTCATGGTGTATGTTCACCGTCGATCCATCACCAATGCGCCATATCACACCTCCCGAAGCAAGTCTCTCCCATGCAAAATACTCCTGAAAGTGTAAGATCCGCCAGAAGGGCATGTAGCACTCATGATTGACATGCTGTTGAAATACCTTGCTCGAAGAACTCTTGCACATAAGGACATCGGCGTCTGCAAGATCCTCCATGCCTGTTTGGCAAGAAGGGCTTGGTTGAAAGTTTCCAGGTCACGAAACCCCATGCCGCCTGTCCGTTTTTAGATTGGCACATCTTATCCCAAGCAATCCAATGCACTTTCCTCTCACCATTCATTGCACCCCACCAGAATTTTGAAGAGATTGAAGTCAGGTTCCGGCACATCTTCTTCGAGAGGTGAAAACAACTCATTGTGAGAGTAGGTGTAGCCTGCAAAACAGATTTCACAAGCACTTCCCGGGCCTTTTTGGACAGCCCCTGCCCCTTCCATCCTGATACTTTTCCTTTCGAACATTCCTTCACATACTTGAAGGTACCATCCTTGGACTTTCCCACCACCGTTGGCAGGCCCAAGTATCTCTCTCTAAGTGCTTCCTGTTCAATACCAAGAGCTTGCTTCAGAACATCTTTTTGTTGCTGTCCACACCCTTTCCCAAAGAAAATGGAAGATTTTTGCATATTTATTTTTTGCCCGGACGCTGCTTCGTATCTCACTAGGATGTTCTTTAGCACATGGACATTTTCCGGGGTACCCTGCAAGAAAACAATACTATCATCTGTAAATAATAGGTGCGTGACTTGGGGGGCCAGTGCTCCCAAAATCGACACCATTAACGCTTCCCTCTTCTTGAGCCTTCCTCAACATCGCAGAAAAACCTTCGACACAGAATAAAAACAGGTATGGGGAGAGTGGGTCTCCCTGCCTTAGCCCCCTTGAAGGAACAAAACCCCTTGAGAGCCCACCATTTAGCTTCACAGTGAACCGTGCCGAAGTTACACATCTCATTACCATCCTGATCCACCCCTCCACAAAGCCATATTTAGCTAGCATTTGCTCCAGAAACATCCATTCAACTCTATCATAAGCCTTAGCCATATCCAACTTTACTGCACATAGAGGTTTTTTACGTTTTCAAGTCCATATGGCGTGCACACACTCATATGCCACAATCACGTTATCCGTAATAATCCTTCCCGGTACAAATGCACTTTGTTCTTCTGAGATGAGAACCGGAAGGAAAACCTTGAGCCTATTCGCAAGTACCTTGGTTGCAAGCTTGTATAGGACGTTACACAAACTGATAGGACGAAACTGTGAGAGTACCTCCGGTGAGTTAACTTTCGGTATCATCACTATCGTGGTCGCATTGAACGAGTCCGGGGCTGCAACACCTCCAAGGAAGTCTTAGACCGCTCGATAAACATATCCTTTCACCAATGGCCAGTGCCGCTGGTAAAAGAGCGCGGGCAGACCATCCGGCCCCGGGGCCTTCATCGGTCCCATTTGAAAAAGCGCAGCCTCAATTTCCTCCTCTGAGATTCTGGATGTAAGTTTTCTGTTCATCTCATCCGTCACCGCGGGTTGTATGTTTTCCAAAAACTCATTCACGCCGGTCGACCCTTTCGATGTGAAAAGTGATTCATAAAACGCTGCTGCCATCTCTCTCATCTCCTCGTCTACCAAACACCTCGAGCCATCTTCCCTTCTCAAAGCCTGAACCGTGTTCTTTCTCTTCCTATGCGAGGCCCGACCCTGGAAGTATTTGGTGTTCTGGTCGCATGCCCTTAACCAGTCAATGCGGGAACGTTTTCTGTAGTAAACCTCCTCCCTGGCATAGATTTCTTTGAGCTGGCTTTCTAGATCGCGGACCTCCAGTGAGGATCCCGACCCCAATGCTCTCTCTTTTGCCTCTTGTAGTTTGGACTTTAGCTTTGTAATTTGTTTCCGTATTGACCCAAACACAACCCTACTCCATCTTTGCATATCCTCCGATACCTGATGTATCTTGTCCCAAACTGCCGCAATTCCAGTTACATCGTTTGACGCTTCAGCCCATGCATCTTGGACCATGCGCTCGTAGTCGTCGTGCTTGGTCCAAGGCTCCTCAAATCTGAAAGCAAACACTCCTTTCTGCCGTTGTGTTGGATCCATCTCCAGTACATGTATTAGGAGGGCTAAGTGATCGGACTCTTCCGTGATCAGGTTCTCAACATTAGTCTCCGGATACATCTCTAGGAATGCATCAGTACATGTTGCACGATCAAGCTGAACCTGCACATTAGCATCACCATCTCTCCTGTTATCCGATGTGTACCTGTAACCCGAGAAGCCCAAGTACGCTAAGCCACACTCTGCCAAACAATCTCTGAAATCTTCCATTTGTGTAAAGCTCCGCAGATTGCCACCTTGCCGGTCAGATTGGAACATGGCTTCATTGAAGTCGCCCACACAAAGCCAAGGCAAATTGTCCTGACTCCGAAGAAACCGCAACGCATCCCACGACTTCTTTCTTTTCTCGGTGTCGGGCTCCCCATAGAATCCAGTGATTCTAAAGGTTTTCCCATCCAACAATATAGTTGCATCCAGGAAATATTGGCACCATGGCCTGATTGTCACCTGTACATGTTCTCTCCACCACATCGCAAGGCCCCCACTTCTGCCTACATAGCTGACCGCCACTCCACTCCTAAAGCCCATACTCCACTTCAGCTTTTCCATAGCCCTAAACTCTTCTTTGTTTCACTTAAGAAAACCACCGCTGGGTTGTGGGACCTAATCAGGTCGTGAAGTTCGCCAACTGTCGAGTCCAACCCCAAGCCTCGACAGTTCCAGGCCAACACGTTCATTGATCCCGGCGGACCCGAGAATCGGGGTCCGCCGATCTACTCTTGTTGTTATCAGAGATGCGGTCAAACACCGAGGCCGTTTTCTGCCTCGTGTCGTGAATGAACACATCCGTGTTGCCTCTCCTACCAGGGTCATCCTTCGCCACCCACACCTGTCTTGGTCTCCTCTTCTTTCCTTCCCCTTCGTGATCCTCCCTGAAAATCTCCCTTTGTCTCCCCTCATAATTCTGCCTCGGCTTTCTTACGTAGCGTCCTCTTGGCCTATCATGCCTCCCATGCATAGCAGGTTGACCCGGTGGACAAACCCGACCCTCATGCATGTAGCGTTGCGTGTACTCCGGCAGTTTATCTTTCCCCTTCCTCTCTCTTTCCACTTCCATGTGGTTATCGTCGCTCCTCTAAGACTATTGGTCCATCAGTTTTGTTCGAAGATCATGCTCCCTCCTGGATTCCAACTCATCCCGAAGGTCCCTGTCTGATGGCGCTCCATGGCTGCGTCTGTCCTTGCACGGGCTTATTACCTCCCCCTTGCCGTGGCCCTGCTTATCGCCAGTGCGATTCTCAGCAGAACGGGAGAACTCTGTGCCCAGGTTCCTTTTGATTGGTAGATCCCTCACCTTGGGTTGCTGGTCTCTGCCCTCGGATGCACCCCCACCACGAGAGCTGTCCATACTAATTCCACTGCTTACAGGTGCACTGGCCGCTCCTTCCTTGCTTGGCGCGGCAATCCCCGAGTCATACCGCAGCCAACTGCCCCATTGACCTGCATGTTCTACCGGTGGAACACAAATACCATTTGCATGAACCAACCTTCCACAATCGAAGCAAAAATGAGGGATCTTTTCATAGGTAAACTCAAACCACGTCCTTTCCTGATCATCATCATTTTTCTTAGGGTAGAAACCCCTAACTAGAGGCTCAAACACAGAAATCTTAGTACGAACTCGTAGTTGGTTTCCACGTGCCACACCTTCTCTGTCTACATCGACCTTAATGGTTTCACCCAGCCAATTCCCCAGTGCCTTCCCAAACATCTCTGTCCTCTTGTCAGGTGGTAGATCAGCCACCCTTACCCAGACATCCACCTTGTCGAATATCATCTCCGAGGGCCTCTTGTCTCCTTCATAGTCCTTCATCACCAACACCATAAAATCATATTGCCATGGACCATTATTGAGGACATGTCTCCAGTCGCCCTCGCTACCAAATTGGACAGATATGGTTTTAGGGCCAATCTCTCTGATCTTCGCTTCTCGGTGCAGCCCCACGCCCTCGGCATCGTTTTCTCTAGCACAGACATCTTCAGAGGTCGCGGCGAGCAAACCTTCCCCACCGCCGCCCATCTGTGGCGTTTCTGGGCGGTTGGGGTTGGATCTTCAAACACGAGACCTGCCTCCTCCTTCTCCATTAGGGCCATCCCGCCCAGCCTCGCCGAAAGACTCGCTGACGGATCTGGCGTTTTGCTCTCCACGGGTGATGCAGACTCTCCTTGGCCCGCAGATCCGGTCCCCTTCCCCACCAGTGTAGCCATCGACCTGGCAGGGGCCGTCGTGGAGTTCCTCGGAGTCACCGTCGGCGTCCTTCCCTCTACACCTCCCGCCATCAGCACCGCTGCAGAGCAGGTTTGCAGAACCAACCAGTGCCCAGGAGAGCGTTGTCGCTACCCTGGATCACCGCCGGAATCACAACACCCCCGTACACGAAACCCTAACCCTAGCACAGCCGCACGGCCGCCTCGTGATCGCCAGCTATCGCCTGAGAACATCGATACGTGGTGGACCCATCTCGCTCATACTCACAATAATCAGGTGTTAGCAGAATAAGCCTATAGGTGTTATGGTGCCCCGCTGTTAGGTGGCCCGTGGGGGCAAAAACAAAAAATATCTGAGAAAACCGTGGGGGGAAGTTGAAACCCTGCGGCTGCAATGGAGGCGGCGGCCGCTGCTGCGGCCATGGGCGGGGAGGAGGACGGGAGGGGTCGGAAGGGAAGCTGGTACGCGGTGGGGGAGCGCGCGGTGCTGGTGCCGTACCTGCGGGAGCACGTCCCGCGGTACCACGAGTGGATGCAGGACCCGGCTCTGCTGGAGGCCACCGCGTCGGAGCCGCTCTCCCTCGCCCAGGAGTTCGAGGTCCACCGCTCCTGGACCCTCGACCCTCTCAGTTCGGCTCCTGCCCCCTCGCTGCTTCCCCTGATCTCCCTCTAGCTTCCCTCGATTTGGTGGTGAGCTGACGTACTGTGACTGATTCGGTGAGATGCTTGTTTGTTTGCAGAACATACTTTCATAGTGCTGGATAAGGAGTTGATCGAGGGAGAGTTCGTAGTCGGGAACCCACACACTGAAGGTTTGCTACTCTCTCATCTACGTTGCTTTTAGTAATGTTTTAACTTGCTTAGCTCAGTCCATGATCATGAATCGGAAATCAGAGGTTACATGGATCTGGTACGATTCTGGTTGAAATTTTGCATACATATTTGTGGCTTCTGGTGTAAGCGTAGATTGACTGAAGCTCGAATGTTCAGAATGCAAACACAAAACCATGCCATTTCTGTACCTTTAGTTATTCCCTGTAGTGAGATGAGATGGAATGTGTAGGCCATTACGGAATGAGTTTCCTCAAAAGAGGAACGGTTTGGGAAAATGAAATTTAGTGTGTTAGAGTTATGCAATGCAGCAACGTTGTTGGGAGGAGGAGGCTCAGCTGTCAAGCGGGGTGGAGAGCACCCAGATCTTCCAGTTGGAACATGGATAAGGGGAGGAGGAATGCCAGTTCAGTCCTTCAATTATATGCCAGGGTTACTAGAACATAGAGATGGATAATACACATTTGCAGGTAGAAACAATACGCGTTTGACTGCATGATCATCAAACCGTGTATTTGATGTCAGTTATATATAAACTTTACATCTCTAGTTGACACAGAAAGCAACTCAAATGAATTTACAGAAGTTTCACTACCAGTATTTATAGGGCCCAAATGTACTCTTCAAGTAAAATTTGAATTCACGCCTCTACTATAGTGTTTTAGGATCCTGATGTTGATTTAGTGATCTATAAGTCTAGATCATTGTTCCATGCATACAACAGTTATGACAGGACTGTTCTCCTCCTCTAGCTTCTGTAGCTCACTTGCCTGTCCTTCAGCCTTAATTACTAGTATATGTTCATAACTTCAGACTTCCAACCAATGTACAAGAATCTCCTAGCAGTAGATTGGTTTAGCACAAGCAAGGTCTCCTCAAATAATCCAGTGTATGAATGTGATTAGTTAAATTTGCGTTGATTTCACGTTCAGCAGCTTGCCAGGTCCTGCTAGTGCTAATGCTCTTCCTAATCTGTTGCAGCTATGATTGGCGATGTCAACATCTATATGAATGACCCTGATGATTTGGAACTTGCGGAGATAGAGATTATGATAGCTGAACAAAAGAGGTACCATCTTTTTAGTATTGGTCTAGTACCTCTTCTCATCACCTTAGATATATGTTCTATATTTCATTATTTTTGATTCATGGGAAATTACATGCATATTCTGTCCAGTCTGACAGCCAATAGGCTTTGATAGTCCAATTTGGGCATCACATTGAATTCTGTAGGTCCTGAGTATTTGTTTTAGCTTAAACTAGCAACAATTGCAACTACTCAACCTATTATCCTTTGAATTATCAGTAGTGTGATACACTGATACTTTTTCACCAACTGCACTCATATGAAATCTCATCAATATGCTACCCCCTCCGTCCCAAAATAAGTGTCTCAACTTTGTACTAACTTTCGGAGTACTATTTAATAATCCGCTAGGAATATGTTTTCTCTCAAGATAACATAAACTTAGTGTTGCGAATCTTTAACCTCTGTATTGGCCAAACGCTCATGATCCTGAAAGCCCTTGACATGATCTCACTGTTATGAAGTAATTAAATTGTTAACGAACAGAACATAATTAACAGTCCTTTACCTCTACTATTATTATTTGATGCAGTATTTATGTATAATGTAGAGTTTAGCAGGTTGTTTGAAATGAGATTGTAATGGACTGATGGTGTTTAGTTATGTTACTCATGGTTCCATACTTCCATGGCTTCATGTTGCAGCCGTGGAAAGGGACTAGGTCAAGAAGTGACCTTAATGATGATGTCATTTGCAGTAGAGAAATACGGAATTCACACTTTCAGAGCAAAAATTAGTGACTCAAATACTGCATCGTTAAAGCTCTTCAGAAAATTGGTGAGCAGATAAACCCACCGTTCTCCCCCCCTTTTCCTCGCTTGTTTCTGATTACTGATCACAATTGTATGTTCTGTGGTCTGAATTCAGGGCTTCAAGGATGCTTCCCATAGTGCAGTTTTTAAGGAGGTATGGATTTTTGACACTCCCACTTCTGCAAATACTATCTCAGCATACTATAGATTTTTGTTACTGAAAATGTTACAATCCTCCATGACTTGTCTGGTACTATGATGTTCGATTAATTATTCCAAGCAGCTTCATGTCTTGCTAGTAACAGTAAGCTTGTTGCCTCCATGTTTTACAAGATGTTGACACCACTGCAAGTATGTCACGGACGTATAAAAACATATTAGTCTATTGCAGCAGCAGTAGTCAATACTTACTGCTCCATCTTTCCTTGCTAGAGCTCATTGTCCGTATCTCTCAGGTGACATTGGAGGCGCCTGCAGCTGAACTCCCGTTGAGCTCTCCTCTGACCATAGGAAGCTGGTGACATCTGATTATGTGTCCCAAGATGTGCTGCAGTAGACATGCGTCAGTGGCTGGTCTTCACCAAACTGATGCAAGCTAATTGTGTGCGCGGCACGCTTAAGCTGATGAGTACTGGCTTCATCTGCCAACCACTGCTTGGGGCAATTGCGTATAGATATATAGCAATAATAGGAAGAACCCTGTGTTGGGTTCCTGAGCAGTTGAGGTGGCGCCTGATGTTTTGTGGTGAAACATTGCAAGTTCAGTACAAATTGCCATTGGGGCAAATGGAACAGGTCGCGGTAATTTGCAGGAACTGTAGATGGTATATGCATCATCAATGACACATGACACTTTGTTTTGAAGCAGTTCACCGTGCTCATCTTTTGCGTTTTCGGAATTCAGATAGCGCTATGGGTGATTTTTGTTTTGTTTTTGTTGAACATGCATGATTAAATGTACTAAACGATTTGTGTAAGCGAATGTGGCAGAAAAGTTCTGAAGTTCAAGCACAAATTATTGAAAGAGAGTTAAAAAAAAAAGAGAGTTTCACAATTTACCCTAGAAATCAAGTCGGAAGAACTGTTTTTTTAGTAACAGTTGGAAGAACTGTTTTTTCTTTTTTGAGACAATCATGTGAAGCTTTTATTAAACCGTCACAATGTTTACAGGAATGAAATTAAGATTACCGTGGTGGCCTAACCAAATATGATGACCTATCCCCAGTCCCAAAGCATGCTTCGCTAGATTGTAAGTTTCGAAATTCGAGTTCCTAAACTCATGAGCAAAAGTACATAAATTAAAGCTACTAGAGTACTCTATAATCTCATGTATAATGGCCCATAGCTCGGGCTACTCTTCTGCCTGATGTCGTTCACCACGTCCATGCAATATGTCGCCACGTGAATAGCTTGCAAGTGAAGGTCCCCTGCTAGTGCCATTGATTCTCTGACTGCCATGGCTTCTAGGGCCGTAGGATCGGAGATACCCTTGACCACAATAGCAGATGCACCGAGGAAGACCCCCCTCCCTGTTCCTACACACCGCCGCAACTGAACCAATGCTTGAACTTCCCATGCAGGTCGCATCAACATTTACTTTGGAGATGCCTATAGGCGGTTGTAACCAGTGTGTTGGTCACGCCACTCTGGCTGCACCACTGAATTGCTTAGGTTCTTGACGACTTGTAGATCACTCAGGAAAGAATTAATGAAAGAGTGTGTAGTGGAAGGACTCTGGAATATATCCTCATGGATGGTTTTTCTCCTTGCTGCCCAAACTGCCCACAAGGTAACCGTCATACGTACAAAACATTCATGCAAAAATTCATTCCCTTGCATTTTCACCGTCATGCTGACTCATATGTTCGACAAGAGCATCATCAGATAGAGCCCACACACTGCTTGCCATCGGGCATTCAAGCAAAGCGTGCCTCCATGAGTCCCTGGCACCACATAACACACATGTAGCTGTAGTCGACATATTTCTATGGTGGAGGAGTTCTGCTGTTGGGATGAAGCTTTGCACAAAACGCCATAGGAACATCTTCACCTTTGACGGCACATCCGTCCTCCATAGTTTTGTCCATTCATTACTCGCATGTTCAGATGCTGATGTTCCTTCAGTATCTTCAATTCCCTGCTCCCCCGCTAACTTTGCTTGCACAATCAGCCTATAGGCCGATTTTACAGAGAAATTACCCTTCTTTTCTCCACTCCATGCCCAAAAGTCTTCTATGTTGTGAGTACATAGAGGAATAGACAGTATTGCTTCTGCATAAACGGGCAAAAAGATAGACTGGACAAGCTGCTCATTCCAAGTGGCCTCATAGACATTTATCAACTCCGACACCAAATGTGGCGGATTTGGTATTAAGGGCGACACCGGTCTCATCATTCCCGATCTCGGAATCCAATTGTGTGTCCAAACTTTGTTTGCCCGTTGCCAATTCTCCGGACTATACCCAGCTTAAGCATATCCCTGCCATCTAAAATTGCTCGCCAGATTTGCGAGGGTCTGCCCCCAGCTCCGCGTCCAAAATGGAAGTTTCAGGGAAATGTGAGGCCTTCAAAACACGCGCACTCAGCGATGTTGGTTCTGTCAAGACTCTCCAAGCCTATCTTGCTAATAAGGCAAGGTTAAAAATCTCCATATCCCTGAATCTAAGTCCCCCTAGGTGCTTCGGCCGTGTCATAATATCCCATGCCACCCACGCTGATTTTCGTTTGCCGGCCTTAACCCCCATCAGAACTGGCGTATGATGGAGGTTATATTCTCACAGAGTCCCCTTGGAAGTCTGAAACATGCCATGGAATAAACCGGAAGTGCTTGTGCCACTGCTTTGATTAGCACTTCCTTTCCCCTGCCAACAGAAGCTCCTCCATTCATCCCTTCACCTTCTCCCACACCCAATCTCTAAGGTATCTGAAGGTGTCCATCTTTGAATGGCCGACATCAATGGGCATGCCCAAATAACGCTCGTTAAGAGACTCATTCTGAACATTCGGAGTTGCCTTGATGCTATCTCTCAACTGTTGTGGACATCCTTTGCTAAAAAATATTGATGATTTGCCGTGGCTGATTTTCTGTCCCGAAGCCCTACAATAAACATCCAATAGGTTTGAAACCGCTACTGCCCCCTCATTACTCGACTTGAACAACAACAGGCTATCATCCGCAAATAGGAGGTGATTTACAGCCGGAGCTGGAGTTGCCACGTTGATCCCACCCAACACAGATGACTGAGAATTGGTTTTAAGTAGGCACGAAAGGCCCTCTGCTGCGATCAAGAAGAGGTAGGGGAGATTGGATCTCCCTGTCGAATACCTCGTGATGGTGTGAAAGACTCTAACTTCTCCCCATTAAATAGCACTAAGAAAGAGACAAAACTGATCACGCTCATGATGATGTCAAACCACTGATGTGTAAAGCCTAGCTTGATCATAATTGCCTTGAGGTACGACCATTCCACTCTGTCATATGCTTTCATCATGTCCAACTTCAATGCGCAATGGTTGTTTGACCTGGACCTACTCCTCTTCATAAAATGCAAACACTCGTAAGCACAAATGATATTATCAGTTATAAGCCGGCCTAGAACAAAGGCGGACTGTTCCTCTGATATGATGTCGGGCAAGATGATTTTCAACATGTTTGCAACAACCTTGGAGGCAATTTTGTATATGGCATTGCATAAACTGATGGGCCGGAATTGGGTTAGGAGAGTGGGGTTCATTACCTTGGGAATAAGCACTAGTACTGTATCATTAACACACACCACACTTTCCTCCCCTCTAATTATCCGAAAAACTGCTGCAGTCACTTCGTCACCACAAATATCCCAGTGCCTCTGGTAAAAATGGGCTGGAAAACCATCCGGTCCCGGTGACTTTGTAGGGCCCATCTGGAAAAGCGCCTTCTTTATCTCCTCTTTCGTATATGGATCCGCCAGCTGAAAGTGCGTTATATCACCTAGAGGGGGGGGGTGAATAGGCGATTTTTATGAATTCTTCACTGAGGAATTTGCTGGTGAGGAAATTCCTAAATGAAGAAATACTTGCAGTGGAATAAGTACTCAGAAAGGAACATAACAGAACACAAGCATGGTCATCATGATGAAATGAAGACAAGCACAGAGTACAGAAAGCGTAAACACAAGATAACACAAGGAAGAAGACAGACATACTGAAGAAATAGAACTGAGGAAATTGAGAACGTCTTCAGTCAATGTCTTCAAACAGATATGAACAGACACACAACAACATAGATGAGGAAATGAAAGAGTTGAGGAGATAGAACTAGTTAGCTCGGTGAAGACAATGATTTGGTAGACCAGTTCCAACTGCTGTCTCAGTTGTACATCTGGTTGGAGCGGCTGAGTATTTAAACTCGAGGACACCTAGTCCCGAACACACAGTCCTCACCGTATTCTCCTTGAGCTAAGGTGACCTCGCCCAATCACTCGTGATAAGTCTTCAGGTGACTTCCGAACCTTCACAAACTCGGTCACTCGGCGATCCACAATTCCTCTTGGATGCTCTAGACCTTGACGCCTAACCATATGGAAGAAGCACAGTCTTCAAAGGAAACAAGCGTTGGATCCACGCAGGATCAATCTCTTCAGTGATGCTCAATCACTTTGGGGTTTTGTAGGTTTGGGTTTGGGATTTCCTCACTTGATGATTTTCGCTCAAAGTCCTCGGAGGATGGGTTGCTCTCAAATGACAAGTGTCAGTTTTCTCGGAGCAGCCAACCAACTAGTGGTTGTAGGGGGCGACTATTTATAGCCGGGGAGCAGCCCGTCATGATAAGACATAAATGCCCTTGTCTGATATGACAGTTAGGTGGGTAGATATTTTGGGACAGCTGGCGCGTATCACAGCAACGGTCGGAATATTTGAGGTTCGAATTCCTCAGGGCTATCATGTTCCTCACTTTGTAGGCAATCCGCACTGGCGAATTCCTAACTCTTCAGTTAGAACAAATTCCTCAAAGACCAGAAGAACTTCATCTCTGTCACTGAAGAACATGACTGAACTGTGCGAGATTTCCAATGGCTTCACTTGAAAGGATTGGTAGGTGTAGGATTTTGAGTTGAGCATCACATGGAAATTTTTCCTTAGTATTTCCTTGACCCCCTTTAACAGTACGGTGTTTCCTATGACTCAAGAAAGAGAAAATGAAACTACGAAAACAAAAGTCTTCACGCTTCACATTCCTCGAATGATTACCAAGTCTTCAAGGTCACACCAATTTCTTCACTTTCATAGTCTTCAGAAAGTCTTCAGAAATCCAAAGTCTTCAGTCGAAGAACTTCATTTTTAGGGGTCGACATTCTTTGTAAACATCAAACTCCTCATAGACTTATAGACATGTGTACACTCACAAACGCATCAGTCCCTTAACCTATAAGTCTTCAATACACCAAAATCACTAAGGGGCACTAGATGCACTTACAATCTCCCCCTTTTTGGTGATTGATGACAATATAGGTTAAGTTTTCAACGGGGATAAACATGTGAA